CATTCACGCACTCACTCATTCATTTATTCTATAACTACAGTTGAGACCCTCCTGGTATGGGTATTATATTGGCTACTGGGAACCCAGAAACAGCCTCCTGGAGCTCAAGATCATTTCGTGTTGTTTCTCCGAGTATGTTTTGGTAATCTGCATGGTTCAATAATCTGTGTTTTTAACTCATTTTCTCAAGTGAAAAATAATATGGACTAACTGATCAAACCACATTTGGCTTCTCCTGTATTGTTACCCAAGGCCTCTCTCAAACCTGAGGTCACCCTGATCCACCTGGCAGAAGGGATGGATAGAGGCCTAAGCCTTGCTGTTTGACACCATGATACGTGGTTTTTCTAGAATGCTGTGGATCTCTTCTGACCCCTTCCTCCCAAACACAGCTACAACCCATGTCCTCCAGAGGCCTGGGCAGATCCCCATACTACCCTGTTTAAGTCCCTTAGAGGCAAGCAGCCAAGCCATTCTGGGTAGAGGGTGGTGCCATGTGCAAAGACCCACGGCCGGAAACAGCTTAGTTGGTGGAGGAACTTAAAGGAACTGGTATGCCTGGAGCATTAGTGGTGGGGGATAAGAGCAGTTAGAGTCTGGTGGGATAAACATGCAGTTCCTTGAGGTAGTAGAGCAGTAGCCATAGAAGGACTGGTTCCTAGATCAAGACTAACTAGCTCTATCACTCCATGAAAAAGCAAACGTCAATCAGTCCATAGCCAACACTTCTGCTGTCTTTTAAGCCATGGATGAGGGTGGCTTGGATGAGTTGGGGGGTGCCAGATGGGGAACTAGAGGGCTCCTGAGGTGGAGGTGGAGGAAGACAGTTATTTTGGTCAGGCTATGAGAGGTGAAAGCCAGGGTATGGTTTCAGGTTATACAATGGTGGCCTTGGGTCACAATCCAGTGTGATGAGAAGGGAGTGACACTGGTGATCCTTCACCCCACTGTGGCTGTGAGCAGCTTCTTCTCATGGCCACCAGTCACATCCCCCTTCTTTGCACCCTTCTTCTCTCCCCTCATCTTTCTCTGCCCCTCTCTTCCTCTTCTTTTCCTTCCCCCTTTTCTTCTCTCTCTCTTTCATGTCTCCCCCTTCTTAGTCTCCTTCTCCTTTTTTCCCCCCTCAGATATTTAAGAGAGATGAATTGGTACTAATGGTCAAATTCAGGACACAGGCAGGACCACCAAAGTTAGGGTTGAGATTCAGAACCAACATCAGTGGTCCAGAGGCCAAGAGTAAGGGACAGGATGGGAAGACTGCAAACCTTTCCTTTGGCTAACAGTTTGCTTTGGTTTCTTGCTGTCCCCACACAATCAGGGAAGGGAAGGGAAGGGGAGGGAAGGGGAGGGGAGGAGAGGGGAGGGGAGGGGAAGGGGAAAGGGAAAAGGGAAAAGGGAAAGGGAAAGGGAAAGGGAAAGGGAAAAGGAAGGGAAGAAGGGAAGGGAAGGGAAGGGAAGGGAAGGGAAGAGAAGGGAAGGGAAGGGAAGAGAAGGGAAGGGAAGGAACCCAGGGATTCTTGTAGCATCCACAAAAAGGCAGTAAAACGCTTCCCTTAGAATTGGGAAGAGGCTCAGCAGTGACAAGAGAAGTCACTAGACTCTCAGAGAGTTGGAAATCCCCAAAGAGACAGCAGCTGGAGACCTTTACAGGCACCAGGATCCCTGGGGCTGGTACTGCTCACTCTGGGTAGAGGAACCCTCCCCACACTGCACAGGATTCTGAAGTCAGAAGTTATGGTTTATTACCTCTATGTAAATTGAAGTGAATCACTTAACCTCTGAGAGCCTCCCTCTGCCTTTGGGTGAGCTAGTGATGGCTTTGCCCACTGCAGGGACCTCTACGGGTGGGATGATCACATGAAGCTCTTAGGACACTGATGTGTATCCCCCAGCTACCTGCCTGCTAATCTGTGCAACGTAGGAATAGTAATAGCTGCTGCCCATGAAACGTGAAAATCAGAATCCAATGGCAAAGTGAATAATAAAAGGCATTTCAAATTCCTCTGTGGGTGGAAGTAAATGCTATCGAGAAACCTCTCTTTGTGGCCTTACTGCTCAGTGGGTTATGGAATGTGAGCCTGGGTGTATCCTAAAATTTTCTCTCAGACACACCAAAATAAAGCAAAAGGAAATAGACATTTCTGTTGTAGTACAGACTCCCGCTCCTCTGCTGTGGGTGGGAGGGGGTCTCTATCTCCATTTCCATCTCCAGCAGATGGTATAATTATGGTTGCCACAGGGTGGGAGTACCAGGATCTAGCTAGCATAGTACAAAACCTTTTTGGAAGTGCTGATTTGGATTCTGATGTTGTTTCTACGAGGCCAGTGGTAGCTGCTGTCCGGAGGGAGGAAGAGGTAGGGCAGAACAACTCAATGCCCTTACCCCGGTGGCCTCTTGGAAGCCATAGGCTTCCGGAGGTTTTCAGGTTGGCAACAGGACATCTTCCCTTGGGGTCCCATGAAGGTAGCGTGGACCTCAGGGCTTCCTGCAAGAGAAGTGTGGATAACAAAACGTCCAAAGGCAGTCTTCTATAGTTTTTCTTTCCAAACACTAGCCCCCTCCCCAGCAGAACTCAGGCCCTGGGGCCCTTGAATCCAAGGGCTTCTGCTTGGCAACCTTGTATAGTAGGAGCCCCTCCCCCGCTATCTAGGGGGCTGTGAGGTGTGGTTCCCCATCCAGGACGCACTATCCCTACACAGGCACACTCCTCCCTTGTGTCGTAAATCTCACTCTTACACTCGCAGATCCGCCTTCGCTCATGAAACACCTGCAGCCCTCCGGGAAACCTGGATGAGCCACAACACCTCAGCGCAGAATGCAGGTGCCAGAGCTCCGCCCAAGTCTGGAAGCGCAGGTAGGAAGGCTTACCACTGGATTTCTATCAGGTTATCCCGATGGCGTGGCAGAACTGCCACGAGGGCAGTGTGGAGAGAACCTCATGCTCCGCCTCCCACTCGTCAAATGCCTCAGAGAGTAATTTCTTTCCCTAGAACAGGAGTGCCTCGAGGTCCTGTGTCTAGGACCCTCAGAGTTCCTGTATCACGGCGGTGTGGTTAAAAAAAAAAATTGCAAGATGATGCAGCCGGGTTCGCTTGGAGTAAAACAAGCTAAGTCAAGGCTCTAGATAGTGTTCGGTATAGGTGGGCTCTAGCCACTGGCAACCCCTCCTTTCCTTAGGCTCCCTGGAGGCTTCCTGGGCCTCCTGCCTCTTTCCCTTTGCTTCTCCAATTCCCTCCATCCCAACGTTCCATCAAGCTCTAAGTCAAAATGCGTCTCAGCACCCAGGAACGGGAAGAATCCATAGATAGATACTGAGAAGGCGGTGGCAGTCTGGAGAGAAAGGCCATTTGCCCAGGAGTTCCAGTTCCAAGACCCAGCAGCAAAGCAAGTCAGGAGTTAGAGTATGGGAGGCTGGACCATGAAATGGAATAGGCTGGGAGCAAAGGCCTTCACTTGGGGCAACCCTTCTCTCTCTCTCTCTCTCTCTCTCTCTCTCTCTCTCTCTCTCTTCCTCCCTCCCTCCCCCTCTCCCCCCTCTCTCTCAGGAGGGGCTACCCCGGAACAGAAGCAAAGGGTTGGGGGGGAGGGGAAGTGAACGTAGGAGTCGCGGAGATAGCTCAGCTAAAGCCCAGAGGGAAGAGATAGTCATGGGGACAAAGAAGAGCAAAACTGCCAGGACAAAGGCCGAGTAATCCAAACCCTGAGGGGCAGCGCACAAACTGGGGTTTTGCTACTACTGGTCTGTGGCCGCAAGAGTCCTCTTCAAGGGCCACGTTCTTGAAAAGTGGGTTTCAGTCCTCGGTGGTGGCCGAGACAGCAAGTACAGCTCTGCTGTCCTCTGCGGTGCTCCCGGGAGGGTGTGCAGTGAGGCGCACACTCGGGAAGCTCTAGGTCTCAAATGACTCGGAGGGCGGGAGCTAATGCTAGAGCCCGGTGGGTGTTAGGAGAGTCCCGGTGTGATGGTCCAGGCTGGAACCGCAGTTTGCAGAGACCTGGAACTCTAAACCCGAAATAGCCTCAAAATGTCCCATTGCCGAGCTGAGGTCCGAGCTTGCGCTCTCCTCGTGCGACCGCAGCTGGGACACAGCGAGTGGGTGTCCCTAGCGCCCATCTTCTTTCGTGGGAGGTTGAGGCGAACGGCCCCAGGCTCTGTGCGTAGGCGGCCGAATCATTTCTGCCAAGAGCTCACTTCTCCAAGGATTTGAGGAGATTTTCTCAGCACTTTACCGATCTAAACATTTTAGGTCAAGTTTTAGTTCAAATACATTCATTTGACCACTGTCTGCGGCATCTTTCCTAGGGACTCTAGAGAAAAAGGTTCTTTTTATTTACCGGCGGCAAAATTTTCCTTCTGTCAGAGGAACAAAAAATTCTGGTCTTGTTGTTATTGATGCAGGCCACTGGACTCCCGCGCGCGATGTTGGCCGGCTGGTTCTGCGCAGCCAGCAGCCAGGACACTCACCTAGCATGCTTTCGGCCGCTTTTCTTTCCGCGTCTTGAGCAGGGAAGCAGAAAGCGACGCGGGAGGCGGGTCGGGTCTCCGGATCCAGCGAATTCGACATCTACTCGCTTTTGGTATCGGGATCGGGGGTCTCAGGAAAGCCTCGTGTTTCTTGTCCTTCTGGCCCAGGGTAGGGAGGCTCCCTCTGGTCCACTCTCTGCAGCCGGGTCTGAAAGCCTAGTTTGCTGAGTTCCTGCCTCCCCGTCTGCGCTCAGGAGAGGTTTCTCACCCGGTAGTCCAGGACCCTCTCCACTTGGCATTTTCATTTTAGGACACTGATCTTTCCAGCTCAGGACCTTCCTGAGAGGAGAGTAGCCCACAAGCACACCCCGAAGGCATAGGTATGGAATTTCAGAGAGACCGCGGAGGGCTAGTGGTTGAGTTCGAAGATGAGCTCGGATGACCTATGCACAGTTTCAGGGGGGTCTGTCCTGGGTTCCAGGGCACACACAGTGTGCGTTCAGGCCTGACTTGGTCGGGTGAATTAGTAAGACCAGCATGGGTCGGGGTGCAGTCCAAGCCTCCTCGCACCGAAACAACCAGTTCAGGGCGCCTTTGCGCACCGTGGCCACTTGGGGTCGCACTTTATGCCTGTTTGAACGGCCGTGCAGCCTCCAGAAGCTTGGATCAGCTTAATCCTTACAAAACGTTCAGACAAAAACAGGGCCCCGGTTCCCCAGCAGCTCAGAGCCACTCGGTGCACCGAGCGGTGTTGGCCTCGGCTCCGAGCCTGGCAGTTCTCGGGTTCCCATACGACTGACCAGTGAAAGGTATTCAGAACCTTTGGGCTGACTCTTTTTGTTTACCTTCTTTGGGAGCATTTTGGGGCCGGGAGGGGGGTAAATGAACGGAGCGGTGAGACCAGTGGAGCTGTCTCAGAGCTCAGTCACTGAACCGGCCAGGAGAGGAACGGTGCCTCTTGGCCCGAGGAACCTTCCAAGAGGTTAAGAGTTAGGTCTGAACAGAACTCTTGGAGCCCCAGCCCCGACCTCCCCCACTGCATACATTTGCGAAGACCACCAAAAACACAGGCACGCACGACACACATTCACTCGGCCCGCGGCGCCGAGGACACAAGAGCGTCGCCCACTGGGCGGGGGCCGCTTGGGAACAAAGGGCCTGGGAAGCGTCATCCGGGCGCTTATTCTGAGCCTACTTGAGGGTGACACCGGCCAAGGGTGGGAGTGCAAAGAATATCTAGGGAGGCGTGAGTGCCGGCAGGGGGGTGGGAACAGCGGTTTGGTCCAGAAGTGGGGCGCGCACCGAAGGCGAGTGTGCGAGGACCTCAACTCCGAGGGGTTGGGGGTTGGGCGCAGGCCGGCCGTCCCACTCGG